TGGGTGTGTCCGTGGCTGGTGACCCTGGGGTCTGCGGGACAATGTTGCTGTGGCTCGGTGCATGCCAGCAGCACCCTGGGACCATGTGCTGTAGTTTACAGCTCCTTTAATCCCATAGAGCCTGGAAGCCCTGATGTGTAGCTCTTGGAGGGCGTGCACATAAAGGATCGTTGCTCCATTTACCACGTTTGCCCTCAAAATGCATTCCCATGACTTTGGATCTAAACAGCTGGAAGAGAATCACAAAACCACAGAGTGGTTTGGGTTGGAAAATACCTTAAGATCATCCAGTTCCAACCCCCTGCCACGGGCACGGACACCTTCCATTAGACCAGGTTCATAGAATCAACCAGGTTGGAAAAGACCTTTAAGATCTTCAAGTCCAACCTTTCCCTCTGTGGATGTTTTTCTTCCTATGAACCACATCTTTCCCAGGCCATCCATTCTCTGCTCCCTCCCTCTCTGCTGAGCCCAAGGGACTCGGTGCCCAAATAGACATCACTTGGCTCGTTTCAGCTGCAGGCAATTCCCTTTCAACAGGTACAAAATAACCACGGAGAAGCCCCCTGGAGCCATTGCAGGGGTCCAGAGGCAGGAGAACGGGAGCATCGAGTGGAGCTACGAGCTGCCCCTCACCTGCCGCCTCTCCGCGTGAGTGCCCCGGGTCGGTTCCCACTGCGGGTCCCACGTCCCGGCTCCGCGGCTCGGGGTGGTCACACAGCACCGGGGGGTTTAACCAGGCAACGAGCTTCTCGCCTGCAGATGTCACAGTGCTCAGACCAGGTCTTTGCTTCACAGCCGGGGAAAGAGGGTGCAAGGCAGAGCAGCAGCTCTGTCAGTGCCAGAGCTCAGCGTCTCTCCCCAGCCCCATGCTCAGCATGTTCATGGCTCAGGGTTATATGCAGACACCTCTTCTGCCGCAGGGGGCTGAAGGACCAGCTGATTCCCATTCTGGCCAACATCCTGGAGGCAGATCAGGAGAAGTGTTGGGGATTCGACCAGTTTTTTGCAGAAACCAATGACATTTTGCACAGGATTGTGGTGGACGTCTTCTCCCTGCCGCAGGCCTCCTCCCACCGCATCTACATCCACTCCTACAACACGTAAGGACGCCGAGGCTGGGTTAAAAGTGAATTCAGGAGTTGAGCCCAGGAGCCTCAGCCCCTCCTTTCACTGGGTGGACCCGGTGGAGCACCCACAGTTAAACCAGGTTAAACCAAACTAGGCTCAAACCAGTGCTGGGGACTGCACTAATGGGAGCTGTTGCTCCTGGCGTGGCACACAGAGAGCCCCAGGGGAGTTGTCCAAGGGGCTCCACTGCCTTTGTGGGCTGTTGTGCTCCAAGAAGAGGGCAGCAGGCTGCTCAAGTGATGGAAATCTGAGCGCTCCCCTCATTGCTTATTCCCCATCCTTTCGTTTCTCCTTCATTTCAGTACCACCAAGTTCTTAGATGCTGTCTTCAAACAAACGAGCATAGCCCCTCACCACCAAGAGTACTTCTTTGAAGGGCATCAGTACGAGTTGGATCCGAATCTGCAAGCTCAGAACTTCTGCAGAACCACAGAGCACAACCCTCTGACCTTGCTGAGCATCGCCGAGCAACCAGAAGAGGTGGTGGGAGTCAGATACAGAGACCGTGAGTACCGGTGCCTTGGAGATGGAGCAGGGCACGCAGTGTGGGTGTGTAAGAGGGGTTTGCTTAAGTTATTATCTTTATAGCCAACAAAAGTACACGTATTTTATGTATATATATACTATAAGGACTCCAATGCACAGCAGGAGGTGGAGGGGGTTTGATGCTGGAGCAGGATTAGGGGGTTTCAGGGTCAGTCTCCCCTGCCATGGGCTGTTGCTCC